TCAGCACACAGGTTTCCTATTTTTACATAGCGAGTGCACGTCGTGACTTTGCGTGCGTGTGTGTGAAAAGTAGGTCTTTGGGTGATGTACAAGGGTAGGGCTATGGCCGGTCCTAGAGCGGCTCTGTAGGTCTGACCTGTAGCTCGCCTGGCTCGCACCGTGCAAATGAATGTATACATTGTCGTGTGCTAAAGCAGCGTAGCTGTGTCGTCTGTTTTTTGTCAGCAGAGCTGCGCGATGCGTAAGACGTGCTATTCAACAGTGTTGTAAAAATGACGGACATGTGTCGCCTCGCTTCGTGTTTATTTTCGACTGAAACTCTTCACAGATAGTCAAAATTAACCAGAAGTAAGTATTATTAGGTGCTTTACTATTAAATATTGATGCTAGCATCAACACTTGGCCACAAAATCACCCAGAAATGCACTTTATCATACTTTGAAACTTCGAATCGAGAGGTTGACCTAGTTTCGACTGTTGTCGTAGGCCTAAGCCTAGGCCTAGATCTAGGTGTGCTTCTCTAGATTCTAAAACATTTGAAAAATCAATGCAGAATATGCAGAAATAATTATTTCTCTTGGCATTGTCTCCTATTGGATTTCATCATAGTAAACCATATTGGACCAAATACATGATGCTTCATTATAACTGAAGGAGAAAATTGTCTACTGTTGTTATATTCTTATTCATTAAATTCTACAAACTCATTGGAAGCACATGACGACCCAAATAACGCAAACAGTTTGAAAGTGTGGCTCCTGCTCTACTCAGCCTGGGTTGTCTCTGACAAATGTGTAGAAGTGGACGTAAAGTGTTCTCAGTCAAATAATGGCTCATCATTAGCAAAAAATAGGTAGCTTTTAACTAAGAATTTTTGTTCTTTGCCCGGGAGCCCATAGAAGAGAATTAGTTGACTGTGGTTGTAAAAGTTTTGTTTTTCAGTTGGAAGCATAATGTTCGTGAGGTGATTTGAAAAGGAATTGCCTTTTGTTGCGATATCCGATAATTCTTGTGCGAATTTGCCTCTTTTCATGGCCTGTGTCTTGACTGTCTTTCAATCGGTCTGTATCAAAGTCTCCAGAACTAAATGATCACTATAGGTTTGTCGATGTGCTTCTCTTTACTCAAACCAGGAAACGAAACCATTTTCTCATAGTCCCACGGCTCCTGGAACCTGACCAATTTGTTTGTCTGACATCGGTGTGTGGAGACTGAGTGTACCCAGCTAAAGAAACAAGATGATGTCCTTACAAGTTCTATGTCTCGGTGTCGCTCTCTCCACGCAACTCGCCTCTGGCAAATATTCAGGTAACCCGAGCCCTGGCTGAGAAGTGAAAACTTCAACTTTTAAACTGTCAATCAAGCGTTAGTTTGTGTGTGTGTTACCGTGCATTTTCGTATGTGTGTTTGTGCCGGTGTGTAGGTGCGCGTTGTTGTGTTTGTATGTGTCGTTATATGTTGGGGTGTTTTAAGTGTAAGAGTTTGTGTATGTTTGTGTGTGTGTGTGTGTGTGTGTGTGTGTGTGTGTGTGTGTGCGTGTGTTTGTGATAATACTATTTATCTAACTTAACCAACCTTTATAAGACATTTGCAGTAACGTCCAAGGCCACTCTCCCCTGACAGATATCGTAACTGTCACAGCTGTGTCACTGTCCTCGTCGTTCTCATTATTTTAATTATTGTTACTGTCAGTCACTGCCAAAATCAAGGCCACTGTCGTTGTGAATGTCATAGTCGTTGCCATTACTCTTTTGATGCTGTCTGTGTCTGTAATGTCATTGCCTTTATCGTTAGGATTATCATTATCAATAACATTATCACTGTTAGTAGGGTGAGTGCCAATACCTAAGAGGAGAGGCACTGGAGAGGGGGGGGGGTGGAGTTGGTTTGGGGGCGTTGTGTTTGAATCTAAAACATTCGGGAAAAACAAAGAGTTCGATGTTTCTAGTTGTTGGAGCGCGTCACTTGTAGGTTTAACTTCTTGATTTTTTTTTTCAATCTGTTGTTTTTCTTTGTCTGTCTCACTATTTCCTGGCATTCGCGGGCTAGCATTGTGCCAATCGACTTTTCTTTACTCAACTAAAATAACACACGAAAGAGTTCGCTGTTTTATTTGGAGAAAAAATATAATCTTGAAAAAGAATTTACATCTTAGTCTTTAACATTTCCACGCTGTAAGAGCACCACAAGAAGTCTGCTCAAGGTCTTTCTGCTGGGATAATGTACCATACACGACCTGTGATGGTCTTGACAGGTTGGGTCGTAGCATCGTAAATTGCCCAAACTTTGTCAAAATGAGCGTAAAACATAGGAGATCCACGTACCTTCATCGTCTAAACTCTCATCCATACGTGTAATAGGTTTCTACAACTATAACGACTTCCTGGACCTGTGGCCACAGATAGAAGGTTTGCGGGGAGAGGCCTTGGCCAACGACTCCCGGCGTATTGGGATGATTAGGGAGTACCTGGAGACTCAGCTCTATCCAAACTACATGACTTTCCTGGATGGCAAGGAAAGGCAGAGACAGGAGAACTGGGGCGTGAGTGATGTGTTGACTTCGTTTGTTTGTTGTTGTTGGCTTTTTGTTGTTGTTGTTGTTGTTGTTTTGTTTGGTTGGTTGGTTTTTTGTTTGTTTTTTGGGGGATGAGGTCTTTTTTTTTTAGCCAATCTTCGTTTCATTTCGAAAAGAAGATAGGAGGGCCAGTTTTACACAAGTCTTTGTGTACAGTCCAAGGCCGTAATCACTACACTGTATTAATTCTCAACTATTTGTTTTGTGGGCTATTTTTTTACACCCATGTCCATGATGTGGTGTTTTGTTCTGAGACGTTGCAAAAAGAAAATGGGGGTTCCATTTCCTGAGAGTAGAATTTGTTTGATCAAGTATCTCTATTATACGTGTCAGGAGATTTTATGACCAGTTCACCCAAGGTTCCTCCTGACAGGCAGGTAACTCGTTCTATAAAATCAAATCATTATATCTTCAAGGGAGTTAATACCAACATATAAAGACATTTAACATTTGTTATACACTTGTGCACATATTTAACATAGCATCTTAGCCAGTCCACTATACTGATCAGCAACTGTTACACCTGTGTCTATCTGTTCAGCCCAAGGACTGCGAGTCTGTGTCCACGGCACGCGGGAACCAGGACCAGTACAAAGTGGTCACGTGGTCCAATG